ATCAGGAAGAAGACAAGGGTGTCCCCTTTCGCCACTCATTCAACATAGTACTGGAAGTTCTAGCCACAGTAGCAGACAAGAAAAAGAAATAAAAGGCATCCAAATTGAACAGGAGGAAGTAAAACTGTCATCATTTGCAGAAGACATGACAATGTACATAGAGAACCCTACAGACTCCACCAAAAACCTACTCAATCTAGTAAGTGAATTTGGCAAAACGGTGAATACAAAGTCAATATTCAAAAATCAAGGGCCTTTTTAACACCAACAATGAACTATCAGAAAAAGAAACTAAGAAAAAAATCCCATTTACCATAGCTACAAGAAAAATAAAGTACTTAGGAATAAATTTAACCAAGGAGGTATAAGACCTGTACTCAGAAAACTTAGAACACTGAAAAAAGACATTGAGGAAGATACAAATAAATGGAAGTATATACCATATTCATGGGTTATAAGAATTAACATCATTAACATGTCCATAGTACCCAAAGCAATCTATAGACTCATTGCAATTCCCATTAAAATACCAATGGTACATTTCAGTGAACTAGAACAAATGCTCCAAAAATTTATATGGAACCAAAAAAGACCCCAAATAGCCTCAACAATCTTGAGAAAGAAAAATAAGGTTAGATGGATCACAATACCTGATTTCAAAATGTACTGTAAGACCACTGTAATCAAAACAGTGTGGCACTGGCATAGAACACACACATAGATCAATGGAATAGAACAGAGAGCCCAGAAATAAACCATGTCTCTCTGGTAAATTAATATTTGACAAAGCGGGCACAAGCATACAATGGGGTAAAAGTAGTCTCTTCAATAAATGGTACATGCAAAAAAATGCAACTGGATTAGCAATTTACACCATAAACCAGAATAAACTCAAAATGGATAAAAGACTTAAATATAAGTCCTGATACCATAAAACTCCTAGCAGAAAATACAGGCAGTAAAATTTCAGATATCCCATGTAGCAATATCTTTGCCAACATATCTTCTAAGCAAAGGAAATAAAGGAAAAAAATAAACAAATGGGACTAAATCAAATTAAAAAGCTTCTGCATGGCTAAAGAAACCAGTATCGAAATGAAAAGGGAACTGACTGTATGGGAGAACATATTTGCCAATGATACTTCGGACAAGAGTTTAATCTCCAAAACATACAAAGAACTCATACAGCTCAACCCCAGGAAGACAAACAATCCAATTAAAAAATGGGCAAAGGACCTGAATAGGCACTTCTCCCAAGAGGACATTCAGATGGCCCACAGACATATGAAAAGATGCTTAACATCACTAGCCTTCAGAGAGATGCAAATTAAAATCACAGTGAGAGATCACCTCACCCCTTTTCAAAATGGCCGTCATTAACAAATCAACAAACCGTAAGTGGTGGCGAGGATGTGGAGTAAAGGGAACCCCAGTGCACTGTTAGTGGAAATGGTGCAGTCACTATGGAAAACAGCATGGAATAGCCTCACAAAATTAAAAATGGAACCACCTCCTGACTCAGCGATTGCACTGATGGGAATATATCCTAAGAACCCCAAAACACCAATTCAAAAGAACTTATGCTCCCCTACATTCACAGCAGCACTATTTACAATAGCCAAGTGCTGGAAACAGCCTAAGTGCCCATCAAGAGATGAGTGGATAAAAAATTGTGGTACATTTACACAACTGAATACTATGAAACAGAAAGAAGGAACTCCTACCTTTTATGACAGCATGGAACTGGAGAATATTATACTAACTGAAATAAGCCAAAAAAAAAAAAAAGAAAGAAAGAAAGAAAGAAGCCAGTCAGTAAAAGATATACCAAATGATCTCACTTATAAGAAGAATCAAATGGATAAAATAAAGTAATAAGCAAAATAGAACCAGATTCATGTAAACATGGAACAGACTGACAGCAGCTAGACAGGATGGGCGAGAGGGATAATGGTGGAAATAAGGGGAAGGGACTAGTCAAAAAACATGTATGAATGACCCATGGACATGGACAATGGGGTGGGGACTGACTGTGGAGTGAGGGGTGAACTGGGAGGAGGACGGCAAAAGGCAAAAAATTGGGACAACTGTAATAAATAACAATTTTTAAAAAAACAGTAATGTATTAACAAAAAGTCATTTAAAAAGTTATTAAAAACATTTAAAAAAATAGTTTCTCACAGTGGTATCTCATCATGAATTCCTAAATGGGCAGGACATGTTGGGTATTCACACCCCAGGCATGTAACTTCTTTAGTAAAATGGTTTATCTTTGCTATAAGCCAGTCCTGTCCATTCTTTCGGTGTACCCAGGTTAACACACCTGTGAAATGCCTCTTTTCAGAACCACTCTCAAGAGAGCATGCAATGTTCTTAACTACACTCAATCCAATCCCTTGACTAGTTTCTCTGACCCTCATGTGATCTTTAAATTCCCTCCTTAATTTCAAATGCATCAAAGAAGGTGCAAACTGCCATCCTGGGAAGGATTTTTCTCTGTCTGTTGAGATCTTGCTTCCAAACATATCCTCTGTTTGGCTCAACTAAGTGTTTATAAAAATTCTCCAAACATTTCAAATTTCTTATATCAACAATATACAAAATGCACTAACCATAAAAGAAAGTGTTAATTGGACTACATTCAAATTTAAAACTTCAAAAGATACCATTATGAAAATAAAAAAGGGAGCCATAGAATAGGAGAAACTATTCATAATGTACATCAGGCAAAAGGCTCATAGCCACAATATATAAAGAATTCCTAAAAATCAAGAATATAAAGCCTAACAACCCAATTTGGGCAAAAGATCTGAATAGACTTCACAAATGAAAGGAAAAAGCCAGAGCCATTTGCTATTTTGGTGCTATTTGCCAAAGCAGGCCTATATCTTGTTAAATATGACTGCCATTTAACTCTTCCGAGCTTATGTCCCCAGGATCAGAAAATTAGTGGACAAGCAAGAACGGAATGTGACTGACCACTCCCTACAACTGCAGGCAAATGATAATGTTGGAGCAAACTGCAGCTTATGCAAACCAAACAAAACCTCCTGTGTTGCAATGCCTCTAACAGCCCAGCAACCACATAACAGAAACACCCCCTCCCCATCCTTTATATCCAATAAGAGCTCAAAACCCCAACCCCTCAGGGACAGCATAATTCTCCACTCCTGGCCCCTTTCCTCTCTTGGAAACTGAATAAAACTTTGCCCTCTGCATTTTCCTCTCTTTGTGAATTCTTTCACAGACTATGTCAACAGCCACCCTAACAACAAATATGAATGACCAATATGCACATACGCTCCTCATCATCAACAGTCATCAGCAAAACATAAAATTAAAACCACAGTGCTACAATTTCCACTCACTAGGATGGCTAGAATTAAAAAGAACTGCAATACCACCTGATGGTGAGAATACGTAGCAGCTAGAACTTTCAAAAATTATTGATGCAAGTATAAAACAGTACAGCCACACTGAAAACAGATTGGGGGTTTCTTCATAAAGTTAAATATATATCTAGTCTAATTCCAATCCTAAATGTGTATCCCAGGAAATTAAAACATACACTCACAAAACAAACCACTGTACAAGAATGTTCATAGCAGTTTTATTCATTAATAACGAAACTCTGAAAAACATCCCAAATGTTTCTCAACATATTATTCAAATACTATTGAATAATACTCAGCAATAAAAAGGAATGAACTACTGATACATATACTACAACATGAATGAATCTAAGAAACACTATGTTGAGTTTAAGAAGCCACTTGCAAAAAAATTAGACATTATATAAATACATTCATATGAAATTCTAGAAAAGGCAAAATTACAGTAAGCAACTAGAACAACTGTTTCATGGCTGAGGGTGGGAAGTGTTTACTAAAAATTAGCACAAATGAACAGGTAGCTAGATATTCATACAGGAAGGGGGAAAAGACAATCAGACATTAAGAACCCTAATCTATTAGGAAACTACAGCTTCACACATTCCCCCAGGGGACCTCTAAGCCCCTCAAGCAGGCAGGAAAGATCATGTACTGGTAATTACCGAGGGAGGGATAAAAACACCAGGAGAAATTTCTCTGCTGGGCGCAGGCACAGTACAAGTCAAGAGGGCACCAGGGGTGGTCCTTCTACTGAGGCAAGCCACAGTAGGAACAAAGGTGGCAACCATAAGGCCTGTCAGTCTAGCCTGGGAAAAGGATCAGACTGAATAAGGGACCTAGAACCCAGATGATCTAGTAAATGGATTGGTTAGAGAGAAGATCCAATGCAAGCCACAAAAGCTTAGGAAGTTGATTGGTTAGTTTAAAAAAAACCTGGTTCTTCACAAACCCGAGATAATATAGTCAGCCAAACCAAGAAGTGCTCTCTGCTCCTCAATAACATTCAGTCACCCCATTCATGTGTTTTCTCTCCACAGCAACCATGTGGCCCTAGCAATTCATGGTGGTAGCCACGGAGGCATCAAGCAGACTCTAAGCCAAGCCTGGTTACTGGATACAGCTTCAGCCAGCCAAAGAACAGCTGGAAACTTAACTAAGCTTTGATACGGACTAAACGCTGGCATGGCACAGAACCACTGGACACTGGTCCTATTTCTGAGACTGATGAAGACTAATTTGGACTTTTTCAATGGCGAGACAGATAGAGATGAGATACTGGGAACCTGGATGCGGCCTTCTATTTTCACCCAAAATAAATCTTGCCACACTATAACCTCCTATACATGGGTCCCTGGGATGCTTTCCTTGTGACTGAAAGAACATGATTTCCAACTGGCAAGACAAGTAAATTTATGGGGTGAGGAAGATCGTCTATATCTTAATTGGAGTGGTAGATATGGGGTTTTTTCCATCCATAAAAACTTGCTGAACTCTTTTAACAAATTCACTCAGTCATTATGTTTTATTAAACGTAAATTATACCTTTAAAATGGTAAAATTATTTGACTACATGTAATAGCCACACAAAAAGTGCACAAAGACAAATACCTTTGTCCATCTGCAAAGCTTCACCCCAGAATGGCTCCCAATCAACTGATAACCTAAATGGAGAAACAGGGAACACAATATTGAATTGATTCAAAGCCTCATATCAAACGGTGCTTATAAAACAAGCAAAATCATTTTTCTTTGCTTAAATAATGATAGACAACAACCGAGTGGCAGAAATCATTAAAAGTTTAATTCACCAGGATGATAAAACAATTTAAAATGTGTATGCATCTATTAACATACACTTAAAATACATAAAGAGACAATAGGCTAATCCAAAATCACAGGGAGAGAGTTTAGCATCTCTCTGTATCGAACAGATCTCATAGACCATACATACTCAGTAGAGCTCTAAGATCTACACAGTAAACTAAATCAAGGACACATAGCACTGCACTCAACAATTAACGAAATATTTTTCAAAGACTCAAGAAACATCTATAAAAATAAACTGTATGCTGGGCCATTAAGTAAAAGCAAGTAACAATATATTTCAAGTGAAGAATCAGAGGGGCAACAGGAGGTTAAAATAAAGAAATATTGTCCCCCAAAAAAGTGGAAAAATCGAATCCTAGGACCCACAACTTAACATGAATTCTCAGCACCACTCTACAACCTATAATTTAAAGTTTTTGAGCCACATAAGACTTGAATAGCATGGAAAAGCCATGCCAAACTAATCATATTTCCTTTTATAACAAACTAATAGAGCAAACAAGTAGAACATTCTGATTTCAGAAACATTTAATAAAGCTTCTCATCAAGCTTCAAGTAATAAGCCATAATTATCATGAGTTTCTTGCACAAAAAGACTCTTTGACTTGTAGACAAATAAGGCAAATGGAGAAACACAGTCTGGATGATGGTATAAGTGGATCAGTAGCTAGTTAAACATCCATATTCACAGTGTGATGATTAATGGAACAATGTCACTTTGGATTAAAAGTGTCTAGTGGCAACATTACAGGGCCCTCTGTCTTTTACCCTCCTCTAGATTTATGTAAACATCCAGAATATAAATAAACAAAGCACTGCTCATCTAGTAGAAGATGAAACTGAGTCCAAATGAATAGCTAATCTCAGACAGAGAATAAACATTTAAAAGATTCCCAGAGAAAATTCTAGTTCTTTTGAATTCCTACATTATGTGTTGTTCATATACCTATTACAGAAACCACACTATTATAATACATTATATTATATAATCATATTAGTTTTTTATCTCATTCTCTCTTAAGATACCTAGGGCTCTACAAAATTTTGCATTTAGATAGGTATGAAAATAACTGCACAGTACAGAATGGAGAAACCTTTGCTGACCACAACACCAAGATAAGCCAACATCATGCAGTCATTGAAAATTATAGTGCAGTACCCCGATTCTAAACAACATGTAGTAACAGTTCATTTACTCTCCCACCAGAAATACCAAAAAATGGACAAAATATATAAAACAACAGTTTTCAAGATAAGACCCATCAGGCAACAAAGAATGATGATCTCAGAGAGACGGGAACCAAACAAGGCGAACCCTACCATTAACCAAGCTTTCTGGCTTAAAAGTTTCCAGGTCCTGCAGCAGGGAGGCAACTGACGTAAAGCTCAGTGTTCTCCCTTAGTTGAGGACATGGAAGTGAGAGTATGAAGAGCCCACAAGGCTAGAGTTAGCTGGACTGAGTACCTGAGAGACAAAAGCCACATAGAGGCTGAAGTCAAGAGTCTGCAGAGGATTTCTACAAGTATTTGCCTGTGTACTGCTTAGTGCATATGTGAAAGAAAAACTACCCATGAATGGGAAAGAACCACATGACAGGATTAGAGGTATGACTGGTGCTCACACTCAGCTGGGAACTGTGCCTGTTCTTGCCAGAGAGGAAAACCTCAAGATTCACAAGGCATTGGGCAGGGTACAAAGAAGTATTTTACCTCAATAGAGTGAAATAATTAACTATTATATATGAAGCTGGGTCTTGTCTCACCTAACAAGTCATAAAAGATTAAAAGGCTCAAAACTGTTTCTAAGTAATTTATCTTACTCCCAGAACAAAGCTCAAGAATGTGTACAGAAATACAAAAATATCTAGCACCCAATAAGGTAAAATCAGATCTGGCATCCAAGCAAAGATTACCAAGCATGCACACAGATAGGAAAACATGACCAATAATGAGGAAAATATTCCAGCAACCAAAATTGACCCAGAAATGACCCATGTGTTAGCAGATTAGAACATTCAAACAGTTATAACTGTGTTCCCTAGATTCGAAAAACTAAGTAGAAACATGAAAGATATAAAAAGACCCAAGGTGACCTTCTAGAAATGAAAACTACAATGTCTAAGCTAAAATACACACTGTATAGAATTAATGGAAGATTAGCCATTAGGGAAGAAATGATTACTAAATCAAATTTGGAGACATGTAATGGGAACTATCCAAAAATGTAAAATAGGACAGAAAAAAAAGCATTCTAAAAGATCTAAAGAGCATCAGTGAGCTCTGGGTCAATTTCAAGTGACCTATGATACATGTAATTACAATCCCCAAGAGAGAGGAGAGAAAAGAGGTGACAGAAAAATATTTGAAGAAATAATGGACAAAAATTTGTCCAAATTTGACTAAGATTATAAATCCAAAGAACCAAGAAGTTCAAGAAATCCCAAGTAAAACATGAGGAAAACTACATTTGAGATACATTATAATTAAACTGCTCAAAATCAGTACTTAGGGGAAAATCTTACAAGTAGCCAGGGAGTAAAAAAAATTACTTTCAAAGGTTCAAACAAAAGATGACTGCAGAGCTCTCATCAGAAGCAATATGAACAGTGGAATAACATGACAATAAAAGCTGTCAACCTAAAATTCTATATCCATCAAAATATCCTTCAAAAATGAGGCGAAGTCTTTTTGAGCTATACAAAAGCTGACATAATTCATCACCAACAAATCCACACCATAAGAAATGCTAACATAAGTCCTTCAGGAAGAAGAAAAAGGCTATCAGAGAACTCAGATGTATAGAAAGGGATGAAAAGATACATGAGTCAATATATAAATTATTTCTAATTATTTATATATTTAATAGATAATTGACTAAACCAAAATAAACACGTAAAGAGTAAATGTATGATAACAATTGCATAGAGGTTGAGAAGGACAAAAAAGAAGTATATCATTGAAGGATGCTCACTATACATGAAGTGCTGTATCACCACACAAAGACATACTATGATATGATAAAGAGATGTAGTATAAAACTTGAAGCAAGCACTGAGTAACAAAACAGTGCAACATGTAATAAGCCAACAAAGGACATAAAACAGGATTATAAAAATTCTAAAAGATCTAAAGAGCATCAGTCTATATAGTCTTTATAGCTTTAAATAGTCTATATATCCGAATTAAAAGACAGATTTTATACATATTATAGATACAACATTTATATCTATAATATGTATACACTTATATATATTATATATATAATATCTGTGTATTCTTGTCTGACTCCTCTAACAGGCTAATACTGGTTCCTTGAAGGAAATACTGCATTATATTTCTCTGCATTGCAATTAACTGTCACATAAAAGGTTCTCAATAAATACAGAAAAGAGGAAGGGAAGGAAGTCAGTCTATTGTCCCCCAATTCTCCTCTCTCTTCTACCGAAAACCAGTATTAGTTGTACATTCAAACTACAGCCTCCTTAATAAGGTATGACCATAAAAACCCAGACATACTCCTAGATAAAACACGTCTAATTAACCCAATGTAAAAATCAGTATTTTTTTCTATATTTAATAATTTCCCCCTAATAAACAGCGATGGATAAAGAAGCCAGTGATGGCATTTTCTGCCTGCATACCTGAGCCACACAGATGTTAACATCCCAATAAATCAAACAAAGAGGGATCTGCTGGCCCAGGCAGCCAACACACAAGCGTTCCATAAGCACAAGACAGTGACTCCTTAGACAGCTACACGGGCACAGCAACACAGATGCTGGGCTAGAGGTGGACTTCATTACCTATTCTCCCCTTGACAATCTTTTTTTTTAGCTTCTTCTTTTAGGTACTAAATTAGAATGCTTAAGAGCATGGTATTATAACAACAGTTCTTGAGGGTTTTCACCTTGTTTAGTAAGGGCTTCTCGGAGAGCAGGAGTTATCATAGCTCTTCTTTCACCAGCTTCATTCTTCGCTGTGCTTCTGAACAAACCAGTGTTCTCTTCCTGCTGCTCCTTTTCTCTCTGTATTAAAATAAAAAGAATGAAAGCCAGAAATGTCAATGTGCAATGAAAATAACAGCACAACAATCATGAACAGGCAGCATGGATAAAAAGCTACATCGTGAGCCATGGCCAACAATCCTGTTCTCTCTAAAGTGATCACATTTCCATTCAGACAATAATCTAAAGACAAGCCAGTCTTTTTTTTTTCCAAAAAAAGTAACTACATACTCAAACACATATACCCACAAAACATAAATCAATAATCACGCATCTATATGTCAAATATTTTAGTATGCTGAGTACAAAGCACTGCATAACTTCAGCAAGATACTTCTCTGAATTTCATTTCCTCACCTGAAAAATGGGGAACCTAGTATCTATAAAGCAGGAATGTATTGAAGAATAAATAAAATAAAATCACTTGGCACAATACCTGATACATAAAAGAGTTCAATAAATTATAGTTATTGCAGGTTATTGTGTCTGCAGGCCCCACATACAAGTTAAAAAAGTATTCTGGACTACCCAAACAACCGTCTGCTCAGAGACCACGTTAGTCTGCCACCTCCACCTGCTGTCCCATTGGCTCCTTTTAGAAGGTCCCATGAGGAAAATTTTTCAGTGACAGAAATATGAAGGATGAAATTGACTGTGTTCCTTTTGACTTTGACCACTAGAAAATTTCACAGTACACCTCTGATCTTTGCATAAGGTCTTGCGTCATGCCTGTTTCTTGTAGTTTCTGTAAATGGTTTCATATTATAGACCCTCACTCACCCGTTGCACTGATTTCTTCCTTTCTTTTTAAATCTTATATGTGTCTGTGTGTGTGTATTTTTTTTTAATTATCTCATTGTCTTATTAGAAGATGGTAGAGGGCTAATTGATATTTTCAAAACAACACACAGAGTCTGTGCTACGCTTTAAAGAAAACTCACATCAGATCTTACTAAGACCTACAGAAATTCAAAATAACTCACCTTGGGAGCAGCCCTACAACCAAGCCCTAGCTTAGCCTTGTTGCCTGCCCCTTTCCAATATCCGGCCCCAGGTGAACTAGTGAATAGACTCACAATAGTACCCTCTCTACCTAAAAATGAAACGCCTTGCAGATGACATGATGTCTGTGATCCACATCAAACTAATGCAGAAGGGAGCACGGTTCACATTTGAAGCTAGGCAACAGGTGATAGGACTTCACTAGGTCATTCTGTCTACTTTCATGAATGTTCAGTGTTCTCTATACACAAAATGTAAAACAGATTAAATATTTTTTAAATAGAGAAAGGAAAACTGATGAAATTCAGAGTTAACTTCTCTAACTCCTGTTATTTTAGCAACTTGCTCTGAAATAGGAAGTCAGTGAAAAAGGACTTTAGTGTGCCAATTGCTGGGGGCGGGGGGTAAAAGGGAATAAATGGTAATGGAAAAAATATATAATAAAGATTTTCTAAAAAGCACTTTAGAGAGTCAAATGTACCAAATGAGAAACATAGACCAAATTAGTTTGATCTGTCCTAACAGTCAGCATTCTAAACCACTGAACATAATCAAAATGCAAAATTAATGAACAATTTTGCTTCTGTTAGTAAAATTCTCACTGCGCCTTTTCAGATGGAACTGAAAAAACATATGAACGAACATCAATCATTTGTTCTTATCTATTATAAAAGTAATCAGTTTGATGCTGGGCATTTTTAATAAATTAGAAGGATCCAGTTATTATTTTAAGATGTTTTTTAAAAAGAATCCTTTGACTTTTTTTTTGAAGTCTATTTCAGACCTAAAATCAAAGAATTGAGCTGAAAAGGAAGTCTTGTGGTAGAGCAAAATAAAACCAACCTTGACCTTGACCACATTTAAATGCCTCTGAAGTAATTCCACAGTAAGTTACTGTAAGTCCCTATTAATGATGCAAGAAATGAAAGGAGGTGGCAGTATTTACTCTTGAAAACCAATGTCACCACAAAATATCACCAGCTGATTTGCTTACCACAGAGGCCACATAAACCAAAAATTGGACCCAGCCCATGACACTGGCCTCTGACCACTGTGCTCAGAACTCTACAGACACCCTCTTATGGTAGAAAAAAAAATTTAAAATAAAAATAAAACCTTCTGACCTCTACAAAATGAATACACTCTTAAAAGAATGGCGATGGAACACAGTCTGTGTCCTATCACTAGAAAAATTATCTATTATAAACTGTGAGTATATGTAGCTACTACAGAATCAATAATTTAGACACAAAGTTAATATAGAAAGAGATCAGAGGCTATGATTAAAAGTCTTGAACATTCAGGAAAAACAACATTTATCATTCTTTGCCTCTATGGAGTTTAGTCCTATCTTCTATATGCAGCAGCAACTTCATTTCTAAAAAGAAATACAATAGTTCATAACACTCCCAAAGGAAGTCAAAACACCATTCAAATTCTAATTCTAATCTCCTATCTGCAGACATTGTTCACCGTTTGCCTAGAACATAACAATATAACAAGTACTAGGACCTATGTATTGTTATTTTTTTTAGCTGTTACATAGCCTAAGCAGAAATAAATGAAGATCTCAGAATTGGTCAACCTTTATTCCTCCCTCTCCTGTACACCAATTTAACAAGGATTAATTCCCAGCATATTGGTTCTCCGCATCTGCAATGCCACTGCTTTTGCCCAAAGCCTTGGTTTCTTCTATAGAACAACTGCAACAGCCAAACTAAATGGTCTGCCTGTCTCCAACCTCTATTTATACCCCTTCTCCAGCTCCCAAACCCATCACACTTTCCTTGAAAGAAAACACTTACTGCCCTGGTTGGTGTGGCTCAGTGGATTGAGTACCACCCTGCAAACCAAGGGTTGCTGGTTCAATTCCCAGTAAGGGACCATTCCTGGGTTGCGGGCCAGTCCCCGGTTGGAGGTGCACAAGAGTCAATCACATATTGATTTTTCTCTCCCACTTCTTCTCCTTCCCTTCCCCTCTCTCTAAAAAATAAATAAAATAAAACCTTAAGAAAAAAAAAGAAAATATCCTTTCCAAGCTACTGTTCCCCAACATACAAAAAGAAAACCTGATTATAAGCTAACTTCCTCTGCACTTGAGAAAATGAATCTATGTAAGTGCAAAGTTCTTTATAAACAAAATAGGCTACATGAAGCTTATTTAATAATGGGAGCAAAAAGTGGTACTGATTTTTATTTTTAAAGACATTATATGGCCCTGGCTGGTGTGGCTCAATGGACTGAGTGCTGGCCTGCAAACCAGAAGGTCACCGGTTCGATTCCCAGTCAGTGCACATGCCTGGGTTGTGGGTCGGGTCTCCAGTAGGGGGTGTACCAGAGGCAACTACACACTGATGTTTCCCTCCCTCTCTTTCTCCCTCTCCCCTTCTCTCTGAAAATAAATAAATAAAATTATACAATGTTACCTAACATTTTCACACTGTCATCCCAGAAACCACAGTACCACCCCAAAACTGCCTGGGATAAAAAACAATGCAAAAAAGTGATTTGTTAAAGATTTTAAACTAGTCCTGGCTGGTGTAGCTCAGTGGGTTGAGCATCAGCCTGAGAACCACAGGGTCACCAGTTCAATTCCCAGTCAGGGCACATGCCTGGGTTTCAGGCCAAGTCCCCATAGGGAGCATACAAGAGGCAACCACACATTGATGTTTCTCTCCCTCTTTTTCTACCTCCCTTCCCCTCTCTAAAAATAAATAATTTTTTTTTAAAAAGGGTCTTAAGCTAAAATGCCATCTAGTTGGACAATGCTAAACAGGTGTTTCGCAACACACAAGCTTTTCATTACCAAAGCATACATTTCTTCTGCGGGGGCGGGGGGGGAGGTGTTTCTTATTGTTTAAATCTGTCTGTTTATTTTATTCATCCATGTTTATGATCAGGTGATCTCCTTCCTTATCAATTCATGCAGAAGACATTGGATACAGAATCTCTAGGTCATTTTTCTGTACAGTCAGTCTAAGCCTGGAACCTTATTAGCACAGGGTGGGCATTCAGAGTAAATGTTGGCCAAAAAATGAATAAATGCCTCAGAACCACCGGACAGCTATTTCTAGCTCTAGAAAAATGCATCTCACTTCTTGTAGTAACTCATTCTAGATCTCACAACTTTCAATATTAGTCTTCTGCAGGTGTAATTAAAGCTCCACCTGCTACAATTTAACCCCACTTCAGCAGGCTCCTATTTCTCTAATAAAGGAATCCCTATATATCACTCAGTTGTCAGAGCTCAGTTTTTAAATGACAAATTTTTAACAGGACTCAAAGCTTTTGGCATGTACTAGGTTTTAAGGATGCTTTGTGAACTTTTTCAAGCAGTTCGACAAGGTATGTCAAGAGCTTTAAAATGGTTTCCTCCAACCCAGTGATTCTGTTTTGTATAACCTGACTTATGGAATTCACTATTAAGGCTGCCTGCACAGGCCATGGGTGAGTACGCTAATTTACAAGCAGTGTCTCAAAGTTGAAGGGATGTCACCTTTTGTTTCTGTGTGAATTAAACACTGGAAGCCTGAAAATAATTATGAAAGGAGAACTAGTTTCATGATATTCCACTGCAGTTCTTTGCAACTTTATAATCGAAACTGGACACATTGAAATCCTTTTGTAAATGGAAATGTTCCTCTGGTGAGTAATTACCAAGCATTCACCATGTATTTCCAATACTGATGATACTTATATCACTGTTTGTCTGCTTAACCAGAACATGCTGTGGGGAGCATTTAACAATATTTACTTACTGCAGAGGGGGGGAAAAAAAAAAACCTTGCTTGCAATTCCCTTTACATTTATAAATCATAACATGAGAGAAACAGAAAATAAGCAAACTAAAATTGTCAGGCTTCTCCTGTCATTGTTCTCTAGCCATCTGACTTTGAATAAATTGCTATACATCTCTAAGCCTGTTTCTTACCCTGTGGAAGTGTAAACTGAAAATGATAATAGTGTGGATATCAGGGCCATTGTGAGGGCTGAATGAGATAACCCAATGTGTACTCTGA